AGTCCATCAACAATGTGATCCCTTGCTAGCTTGTTGATTGTTTTGAAATTCAAGTGGCTCAGCTTCTTATGCCATTCCCAGCTAAGCTTCGAATCTCCTTTGGCTATCAGGCAAATTCCTTCTTTTGCAGTAGACCAATCAACAACATATATGTTTCTTTTTCTGGTAGCTGTCAGAACACCTCCTTAGTTGTCTCATGCTTGACAGAATAGCCTTCTTTTGAGAATTCAACAGTGTAGCCTTTGTCACAGAACTGGCTAGCACTTAGCAGATTGAATTTCAGGCCTTTGACATAAGAGACATCATCAATTATTATCGGGTTCCTAATCAGCTTGCCTTTTCCTTTTATTTGACCTACTTTGTCATTACCTCCAAAGGTAACTCTAGGTCCTTTGCATCTCTGGAACTCTGTTAGGCAACTCTTGTCACCTGTCATGTGCCTGGAGTATCAATATACCCATCTTGCTCAGAGATTTCTCCAGCACACAGTTCCTGCAAATTTAATAGGTAGATTTAGGTACCCAAGCAATGTTGGGTCCTAGGGGGTCATGTAGTCTTGGTAGTCGGTACCACTTTGGTCTCATCAAGTGAAACTTTGGTGGGTGGTACCCATTGTCCACCTGGTAGTCATAGTAAACAGAAGTGTGATTCACTTTGGGCAGATACTTGTGAGGATCATGCTTCCTGTTTACATACTTCTGCATAGCCTTTTTGGTTGGGTAGAAGTCCCATATACTATCAAGACCAGAGGGGTGGTTAGCTTAGGGCTTGTGAAGTTGACCAGCCAACCTCTTCTGCCTGAAGTTAACTTTCTCTTGATATTTGCCTCTCTAGTGATCATTTCTGGTGAGGTAGTCATGAGGATGTCTGGTCGAGTTCTGTCTTTGATTGCCTTTATTTTGAAAACCTTTTCTGTTGTTAGGTTTTCTACCAGGTTCATTGTTTTTCAAAACTTGTTTGGGTTGAACCTTTATCTTTTGTTTTTTTGGTCTCACTTCCTCATGAACCACCTTGGTATCAGATACACTAGTTTGGCAGATGGGGCTAGAAATCAGTGGCACTATGACCTTGTCTGCTTGAGCACCTCTGGTGCTAAGCATTACAGAAGGCTCACCTGATTCTGTTGAGACATAACCAAGACCAAAACCAACGCCAATTTGTTGGCCAAGTAGTAACCTTTCCATTGAATACTGGGCCTTCTGGTAGGTGTTATACTTGATCTCAATTGACTCTATTTTTCTTACTCTCTTTAGAAGAGAAACATTTTCAGCTTCCAGCTGATCTCTTTCCTTAATGAGAAGATTGATTTTGGTTTCAACCTTCTTTCTTAAGTCAACGATCTCAACTTTCAGCTTACTGTTTTCTTCTTTGACATAGGAATAAGTGGCTTGGATGGCTTGAAACTCTTCCCAAAATTCAGACATTGATTCTGAATCAAAAGCTTTGCCTACCGAAGCAAAACTAGAAGCAGAGGTAGAGGATACCTCATCATCAGATTGACCCATAAGGCATAGGTCTTCAGTCTCTGTATCCAGGCAACAGAATGTCTCATCTGATTCTGATTCTGAACGGGACTCTGTCTCAGAGAGGGGATCCTTCTTTGGTTGCTTAGTGATGAGTGCCTTCCTCCTTCTGTGTTCATACTTCTTTTCTCTTTCTTGGCCTTGCCTTTTGGAGAATATGGGGTGTGGACAGTTGGCTTTGAATTGCCCAGGTTGTCTGGAATTGTAGCAGAGAAGCTCTCCACTGCTTTCTGAAGACTTGGTCTTCTGGTGTGGCTTTCGGCTAGAGGATGGACTTCTGCCATCCTTGGGCTTTATAAATTTCCTGAACTTCCTGGCAAAAGCAGCCATATATTCGTCAGTTAAAAGTATGGAAGGGTCAAAGTTATTTACCTGTGAGGTGCTGGCTGTGAGGGCAGTAGTTGTTCTGTCCTCAACTTCTTCTTTCTCTTCTTCACTCATCTCGAACTCATAAGACTTGAGATCAGAGATGAGTTTCTCAGTGCTGTAGCTTCTGAGATCTTTGCTGTCTCTCATGGAAGTGACCTTCATCTTCCAGGGTGAAGGTAGACCTCTGAGGACCTTCAAGTTGATCTCCTTGGGAGTCAAGTCCTTCCCAAGTTCTGAAATTTCAACAGTGAGAGTGAGCAGGCGTGCATACATTTCAGCAATGCATTCATAGGGTAGAAGCTTGAAGTCCTCAAACTTCTTCATAGCAATGGTCAGCTTGTTATCTTTCTCCTGCTCATCACCAGCTCCTATCAGGGTAAGTGTGTCCCAGATAGCCTTAGCAGAGGTGCACTTCTTGATCCTTGTGAAGTACTTGTCAGCAATGGCCTTGTACAGAATGTCCTTGGCTATATTGTCAAGGTTGTACTTCCTTCTTTCTTCATTTGAACACTCATGGCGAAGCTTAGTGATCATTTGGGGTTGATCACTGCCAACAGTGTATTCAAGATTCACCTTGGTGAACTCAGTGAACGGACTTGCATCTAGGACTTCCCACATTTCATCATGTAGTGCGCAGAGATGGGCCTTCATGCATATCTTCCAATCATCAAACTTGGTAACTGAAAACATCAAGTTCTTTGAAAGAGTGTTATCTATAATAAGTGATTAAAAGAGGCTAAAACAAGTGGATCTCTGTTCAGCAAGTAACCTAAAAGATTACAAGAACGAGGAGGCTCTGATACCATTTGTTGGTCCTGTTTACAATGGGAATAGTCTAGAGGGGGGGGGGTGAATAGACTATTCAGGATTTTCAAACTTACCTCTGAGTCAACTCTGACTTACCAGAGAAGATCTGGTTCTGGTGACAGAGAAGGTCGAGTTCTGATGGCAGAATTGGACCTGGCAGCGGATAAGAGTTCTGTCTGGGTAGCCTCAGGAAAAACACTAAGGCAAATGCCTTTCTGATAACTCTTAAGGGAGATCTGTTGAACACAGAGTCCAACCTTTTGAGTTAAACAGTTAGAGTCTTAAGTACAGAAAATTAATGCGTAAAGTAAATGACACCGGGGGTTTTATAGTGGTTCAAGGAACAATGTGTTGCTCTAGTCCATTGTTCCACTATGCTTGCAAAAACAACAGTTTACAACGCCTTAGTCCCTAGCACTTAATAAGCACTCCTCGTCTTCTTCAAGTCTAGTTGCCACCCAGGATGCAGTCCTTGCTTCCTGATCGCTGGTCTCGTTTCACTGAGTCTCTTGGAAGTATCCCCACTTCACTTACTCCAGCTAGTTTGAGACGTCTCTTCTTTTTCAAGAAGTGTTTGATTGAAAATCAGTTTTCTCCAACGTAGCTTCTTCACAATGGATGTGTAGTTGAGGCTTTCGAAGTGTTGAAGAACTGGAGGAACGATTCTTTTACGTTGGAAAGAAAAGATATGGAGTTTATAATCTTTTTCAACGTTTATTGTGTTGCTCGTGATGAATATAGGTTGAAGTCTATGAGCGTTTGAATATATTTCTTTTTGTAGAATCGTTGTTATCCCAATCCTTCGAAGTGTATCTTATATACTGGGAGCAGTCTTCCCGTTGGAGTGTAGAAGACAACTTCATTAATTGTTTGTACTGTTGATTTGACCGGTTGGTCCTTCGACTTGCTATTTTGGGGGCGAAAGGATACCCGCATGGTCAATCATCAGCTTTAAATATCTCTTCGTACGTACCGCATTAATTGAGCATTTAATGCGTGTACAGTATCATGTTTCCGTTGAATGGTTCCTAGCCGTTAGGGTATTTCCCGTTAGTTTCACGGTCATTGTAATGTACCTTAGAATTCTGCTAAGTACCAGCAAGTCTGATGAGGCTCTCTTGTTGAAACTCTGATGTCTGCCTCTGATGCCAACTCCGGTACCCAACTCTGGTAGCTTCTCTTATGAGCAACTCTGGGAGCAACTCTGATAGCAACTCTGATGAGCAACTCTGATCAGAAAGTCCAAGAGGGTCTCTGGCCAGTCGACTATGCTAATACTTACAAAGAAAATTTCTAATACAAAAATGCTAATGGGGTACTTTAAAATTCTAATCAACCTAGCATCATCAAAATCTAAATACATTTATTCCTTACACTGTCTTGTATTGGTGCTCTTTTTTGTTTTAAAAAAAATGATTTTAGTAAAATAAAATCAGTATTACATTTGTGCATATATTTTTAATGCCCTCTGTGCAACTGTTATAATGCCCTTACTTTTGTCTTAATCTGTGTTTGCATGTAAATTTATGTCTTAATTATGTTAGCACTGTTGTAATGCCCTTACTCACATATTCTTTAATGCCCTTTGTGCAAATGTTATAATGCCTTGCTTTTTTCCATATTTTTTGTTTGCATGTTAACGTATTTCTTATTTAATTTTTCTATTGTCCTATGTGTATGGTGTCACTGTTTTTTAGTGTAAAAAAATTAATTTGGGAAATTAAAATCAGTATTGTTATTTGTGTATATATTTTAATACCCCATGTGCTCTTATTTTAATGCCCCACGTTTTGCATTACATTTTGTTTGCATGTTAAAGAATCTCATTTTACCACTACCCTATGTGTACTGCTATTCCTTCACTTTTAATGTCCTCTCCTCACTTTAATTTAATAGTGTATATTGCCAAAATATTTTTTAATTGCTACTGTTTTGTATGGCATCATACATTTTTTATTTCCTATAACAAATGCATTCACTTTTTTTACAAAAGATAATTCCTTTCATTATCCATTTTTTCACAAATTTGACTCTGAGAACACATGCCCAATTGATGTACGTCAACGAAATAGCCGTCAGGCTACGTCTAGGATTATTGCCGAACTTATCAAACATGAGTACGGTGATGCATCCAATAAGTCATACCCTCCGAAATCAATTATGCTTGATATGCAGACAAAATACGGCATTTACATGTCATACAAAAAGGCATGGATTGCCAAAGAATTGGCAATGGAACTGGCTATGGGATCTGAAAAGGATTCATATGCACGCTTACCTTCAATGTGTCATGGAACTGGCTCAGGGTTCTTCAGCATGTTGAAGCATTCGCTGATGCATAGGGATGATCTATATATTTTGTCTGATCGGCATGAGGGAATTATTAGTTCCGTGCGTTCTGTATTTCCCCATGCGCAGCATGGTTACTGTGTTTACCATATATTGGCTAATTTGAAAACAAGATTTCGTGGCACGCAAAAAACTGTGTCATGGAAGTTTTTGCAGGCTGATCGTGTTGGATCTGTGTACGAGTGTGAAGAGTACCTTCAAATGCTTGACAGTGAGGATCCACGCATTCGTACGTATTTAGAGTGGATGGGCCATGACAAATGGTCTCGTGCTTATGCTAGTTGAAATTGGTACTCGGTTATGATGTCAAACAACGCGGAGTCATTAAATGCAGTTAATGCCACTCCCCGAGAATACCCAGTATGTAAGTTGATAGAGTTTATTGTTGCACGAATGCAAAAATGGTTTTGTGAACAGCGAGACTCTTCAGCTTCAAACAATTGTCGTTTATCTGCACACTTTGAATCTGAACTAGTTGTTTTACAAGCTATGGCGGCCGTCATGACAGTATTGCCCTCTACTCTTTGTCTTCTTTTGCACTAGTTTTTTAAAATACATCCCAACGTTATGCATTATTCAATTACTTTTACTGTACTTAATATTTAATTATAGTTTTATATGTTTAATCACACATTGCGCAGGTCAAACCGTCATGTGCTTTTGAGTTTGAGGGTTTGATAAGAGATCCCGCTCTTATGTTGTCAACTTGAAGGAGCGCACGTGAAAATGTCTTGAATTTCAGCTTGATGGGTTCTTATGTGTACACTCCGTTGCACCTATTCGCTCCCGCCCAGTACTTTCTTGCTATGATTACATTATAGAATTCTATACAGCACATCATTGGGCACAAACATACCGCGGTATTATTCATCCTATTGGGAGTCCAAATGGTTGGATGGTACCTTCACATGTTAAAAAAATCACTTGCATCCCCCCATCATGTGAATCGCGACCTCCTGGAAGGCCGAAGAAAAGAAGAATTCCTTCTACAGGTGAACATGTTCGGAGTCAAAAATGCACTCGTTGCCTCATGGTTGGACACAATAGAAAGACGTGTAGACTTCCTATTCCGCTACACATGCGTTAAAAAATGTTTTTATTTGTTGTTATCATTCGAGCATTTTTGCGAATGCAATCACATACACTTGTTTTGATTTCTGAACATTTCCATACATTTGTCATACCTTTACCTTTGAAAAAAAACTGCTAAGAGTTAATGGCTCTTCGTTATTCATTGTTTATTTAATGCCCTGTTTTCGTTATGGTGTGTTAATTTTATGAAAAAATTATTTGCATCATTGTGCTAATTGTCTGTCAATGAATATCATTTCGTTATTGTCCTGCCTTAAAGAAATTAATTAAATCTCAAAATCACATCATCAAGGCTCATCGTACATGAGGGCATTAATGTATATATGTACTTGTTCAGATTTTTGTCAATATTATTGTCCGTTCCTAATACCCTTCATCAGCACATTTGCATATACCAGCTCAATCCCATTCGCTAAAAAAATACTTGTCGCACTTAATTCTTTTCCCACACACAGTCCAATCATTTACAACCATTACACATTGCCCACACAATAACCAATATATATAGTCAGTCCATCTATAAGTAATGCAATAATATATGTCTACTCCAACAAATACACATTTAAGAACAAAACATTAAAAGTTCAACTTGTGCGATAAATGTTCTAAAAAAACCCACATTAAAAATCAAAACAATACTGCAATGTAATTTATCCACTTCTCGTAATATCCATCACTCTAAATTCAAAAAAAGATTCGTTATTAGTTTTCAAGTTTACGCTCCTATAACACCAAAATGAACTAGTACCTCTGTCGTCATCTTGCTGCGGTAAGCATTCAGTAGTTGCTTTTGTTTAGTATATATTTAATGCCCCACTGACCTACCCTTATTTTTTAAGTCATTATTTCACAATATGTCATTATACATACTCAATGATTTGCATATTTAATTCCTCAATGTCCTTAAAATAACTTCTAAGTCATTTACATTGTTGAAAATTATCGTACCAAACTCAAGCTCAATAAACAAAACAGGACATACAAAAACCACCATCACATACTACAACCACCAATACATACAAAATCTACTAGTATTATGTTTTTTAAAAAAACTGAATTTTTATATGAATGAAGAGATGGATAGTTTACAACGGGTGTAGAGCAATGTAAAATAAAAGAGAGTTGAGCCCAATAGGAGTTGAGCTTGTTACAACAACAATGAGCCCAAGTAGAGGTCCATTTGTTTCTTCAAATCTGGGGTGGCCCGTCTGGCAGAGAACATAAAGCGTCCAAAGGATGTTTGCCGTGCAGTAGGGTTGCGTATCATGAAGAGGGTAAGAGAGATATTGTCGGTTAGAACGCCTCCTCGTCCAGAAGCTGGTGGATAGTTCTATCTATTCTGCATACCGCAATAGTCATATGTAAATCAAGCATAATATCCATAATATCCAGATCTGCAAAATTAAAAAATATTGGTCATTAGTTTTTCAACGCTATGCGCCTATTGCATCAAAATGAACTAGAAGCTCTGTCGTCATCTTGGTGCGGTATGCATTCATATCTTCTGGTCTAACGTACTCCACATCCTTGTCCATCATTAAAAACTCAGCCATCTTTAACACGGACATGCCAAAACTGTCACTGTTCAACAATATAAAATTATCAATTCATGGAATCCTAATCATTTTTAATTAAACCATCGTTGGTCATTGACCTTAATCACATACCTATCGTTTTGTTGTCGGCATTCTTTCACCATATGAATCTGCAGTAAATCCTCCCCCATAGGCCCCTCACAACGCTCATTGTACACTCCTAGCTTATACATTAGTCTCGATAAAAACATTTGCAAGCTCGAGAGGTAATGGTGAAGGTGTATGTTTGTTTGACCCCGTCGAACACTAGAATCGTACACACATATGCACTTCACAGTTATGTCAAGCACTAGAAGTATCCAGTGATTACCTGCATTCAAAGTCATGTATACAATTCACCAAATTCTCATTTTACAATTAAAGGACAATACTTTATTATCTAAAAGTATTGTCCTTTATTATCACACAAATCTATCATTTATTCACAACTCACCAAATGAATGCAGTGGTTACCTGTATTCAATGACATGTATACATGCTCTGATTCAGCCCAGGCCAGTCCGTAGTCCAAACGTATCCGAAGGATGACACCCATTATATTCTTATTTAAAGCACTTTCTGACATTGGCGTTGCATTGGAAATGTGGTTGTCGTAATGCTGCTTTACCAAAGGCATAAACATAGTGTCTGCTGTCGTGAATTTCCGATGCAGCTTATAATGTTTAGCTTTCATCCTTAAGAAAATCATTCCAACCTCCACGTGCTAGACAAATCAAATTTAATGCATTTAAAAATTATTAGTGCGTGAGTTACTGCCTTTATTTGTAATTCTAAGTAATATATACGACTAAATTATCATGCGTAATTATGAAAAAAATTATTATTAAATAATATAATCTAACTGTATCGCTTAACCAATTCTCGGGGAAGTATATCGTGTAGTACCATTACTTTCTATCAAAGCTTGAATCCCCAAATGCTTCTTTAATGCCTTTGATCTTTAATTCATCATATCCTGATTTGTATTTCCTCTCCTTACTGCTTTTGTGGTTTTTAAGTAGTCCATCATGCATGAATTCTAATGTTTTTTGAAGCAATTCTGCAGGTGACATTTCTGATGGATCTAGACTAAATGGCCCCACTATTGCATGCCTTACATCATCACCTATATCTTGCTCATTTCCCTTCTCTTGTTTCCTCCTCTTTTTCTGTTTTCGGGGTCCAGAAAATGTAAATCTGTCTGGGCATTTTGTCTTTCTTTTTGGCATGCCATCAACTGTCAGTGGGGTTGTGTCCCCTGTGTATACCTGATCCACCGAAAAACAAAAACCTTGCAGCAACTATTATGATAAAACTTCTATTAATTGAATTATGAGCATGACTATGAATGCATGACATTTTTACAGACTACATCTTCTATCTTAAATGCAATATTATCGCCCAACTAAATATATTTTACCACAATCTGCGAGTCTGGTGGTTCTAGACTTTCTTCGTTTGTTTCTGGGTGAATGTCTTCAATGCCCTTCTCATCTTCATTTTGCTCCACTTCAGCCTCTTTAGCATTTCCCTCTTCCTTATCCTACATGACCATCAAAACTCTTACAATCATCACTTAAGGCACTAATTGATGAGATAATGATTACTTTCTCCTTCGTTCTTCTAGGTATGTGCTCAAGTTCCCTATCACCTTGGTTAACTGCTCATTTTTTTAAAACCAGTCAGTTTTTAACACGTATTAAAATTAAATGTGTTGAGTTTTGTTGAAGTGTCAATGTCCAAAATCAAGAGCATTAATATGGTTTACTAAAACTATGGACATTATAAGCATTACATAGGCATTGGTGTTACTTAAATACTTTGGGTAGTATAAGGCATTATAGAAGCATTGCATCGAGTAAGAACAAGTTTAGTCAATTTTAAAATTAAGGTAGTACTGACTATGGCCTTTAAGGAATAACAACATAACATATGGCATCTAAAGTATTTTTAAATTAAAAGGTGGGAGTGTAGTCAATATTTGGATGTGAATAAGGTCCATGTGTTGTCGAAGTATGTTGTGAGAAGCAAAGGAAAAAAAAGTAAAAAATAATAATAATAATAATAATGATGATGCGGTTACTTTAAAAAAATTTAAAAATTCATGTATCCAGTCCTTTGTAATATAATCAAATACTTTCCTTGTTTATCTCAGCATTATTTGTTGTCTTAGTGTCCTTGCAGGCACTATCAACATCTTCACTCACTTTAAGCTGCACAAAATATTCACAATTATATAACCAGTTACTAACACAATCACTCTAAACACCACTTACCTTTTCACTTCCTTTTTCACTGCCATGTTGAGCCTCCATATTGCCCATGTATTTCTCAAAAATCACATCTACCTCCGCACACAGCAGCTGCGTATCCAGCATTCCTATATATTCAAAGATCTAAATATCAACCTGCTCTTCTTTCTCTGTCTCATCAGTCATCATATTCTTTTCAATCAATTCCACCTCCTTAAGTAGCTGCTGGGTGTTCATTGATCCATCTACTTCCTTGAACATGTCATCTTGTGTCATTTGCACGTCATGTTCCACCATCTCATCAACCGTCTCTGCCCTCTCACAGACTAACTCCTCAACTTCATCATGCTCATTACCTTGCTCATTGTCCTCTACTACATGTTCATTAAACTCCATACCCAAGTCAAAATTTGTCACGTCTTCCTTATCTTTCATTGCTTCTTTCTTGGACACTTTCTTCATCTTTTTACGCTTCCACATCATGCCTCTACTAGCTAAAACCTTCTTCAATGTGCTGGATTGTTTCATTTGCAACTCACACAGCTTATCCACCTTAGATTCTAGCTTTTTTAATCTTTTTCCTTTTGATACAATGGCTGCCATGATATTGTGCATCACTTTATCTTCCTTCTCTTCATTTACGGGCTTCTTTTTTCTGTTTGCTTTCCCTTTTTGCGCAGCCTGCCTTTTTTGTACTACCTTACTGCGTGTCATTACTGCCTTGGCCATCACTCTACTACATCCCCGTTCTTCGAAATCGTCATTATCATTTCTCTCCTTCACATCAACTTCATTAACATTGCTTGTCAATGCTTTAATAACTGAGTTCATCTTTAGCTCTTTTTTAGTGGGTTTCATTTCTTCCCATTCTACCTGCACATATAATTATAAAAACATTTTTATATTACCCAATATGACAAATACAACATGTTAGTCCCAATATCAATCAACAATCATACAAACAATATAACGAGTACAGAAGAAACGATGATCCGATTCAATACCAATAAAGATGTCGAAATACAGAATAGGGTATGAACGGCGTTTTTCTCCCTTCTCCCTAAAAATGATATCTGCGTTGAGGCTTATGCGAGAGTTAGGGTTTGCTTAAGTTAGCATCCTTTTATACATAAGGATGTCTAACTTAAGGCTTACAAGTGGGCTAATGGGCAAACTTATACATTTGTGGCCCATATTACACATTTAGATAATAACTACACAAATACAAAGATATTTAATTAGATTGGACAC